TATTATTATTATTATTATTATTATATATCACAGTACATTTCAAAGAGGGGAATCTGCTTAAACTTTTTTTAAATTTGTTATGCTTACGGCTATGATGTAGATACAGGTAGTCCTCAACTTACGACCACATTCGAGCCCAACATTTCTGTTGTTAAGTGACTTTTCCCCCATTTGATGACCTTAAGTGAGTCACTGCTGCTGATAAGTGAGTCACTGCCGCTGATAAGTTGTAACCCGGTTGTTAAGTGAATCTGGCCTCCCCATTGATTTTGCTTGGGGAAAGGTGATCATGTGACCTTGGGAAACCGCGACGGTCATAAGTACGAACCCGTTGCCAGGCGTCTTGAATTTTGATCACGTGGCCGCGGGGAGGCCACAGAGATTGCAAGTGTGGAAAAATGGCCATTAGTCACCTTTTTCCAGTGCCGTTGTTAACTTGGAACAGTCACTTGCAAGTCAAGGACAAACAGTTCATTTAGTGACCGTTCCAAGTTAGAACGGCACCGGAAAAAGTGACGCGGTTCTGCCTCTGAATTTTGACCAGGTGACTGTGGGGGGATTTCTGCCATTGTCGTTAAGTGTGAAAAACAGTCGTAACTCGCTTTTCTCTGTGCTGTTATAACGTCAAACGAAGGGTTATAACTCAAGGCAATCTGAGTAAGATTTAGCGCAGTGGTCTTCAAACTTGGCCACTTTGAGACTTGTGGACTTCAACTCCCAGAATTCCTCAGCCAGCCCTCAGGGCTGGCTGAGGAATTCTGGGAGTTGAAGTCCACAAGTCTCAAAGTGGCCAAGTTTGAAGACTACTGCTCTAGGATGCCCACCCCTATTCTAGAACGAAGAAGAATTCAGAAAAGATGTCGGATTGCTTGGCAGAAATTTGACGATAGAACCAGTTGGGTTGTAGTGGTGAAGGTGCCCGACTAGAAACCAGGAGACTGAATTCTAGTTTTGCCTTAGGCACGACAGCAGCTTTAGGCCAGTCACCAACAGGCGATGAGTTTGAGTTGTGCTGGCTGAGGAATCCTGGGAGTTGAAGTCCACAAGTCTTAAAAGTGGCCAAGTTTGAAGACCCCTGATTTCGTCGGTTGGAAACTAGCATTGTTCTCTCCTGGTTATTTACATACAGCAGGGCCCATATGGTAGTGCCAGTTAAACATCTGTCGACTTTGCCCAAACTCTTTACTTCGTACAGGTTCAAACCTGCCAAAACCTGCCGGTGTTGAGTGATAGAAAGAAATACTTAAGTGGCCAAGAGCAGTAAAACATCTGCCTCCTAACGCCATCTCTTGTAAATCACCTGCAGTCTGAGGTCCATATATATATATATATAGCCATCTGGTAGGGACCAGTCTTTGGAGGGCCTTGCTGAAGCTGGAATAAACATTGGCATAGCTGCTTCTTTGAAAAGTCAGGATGGGGGGGGGAACTACCCGTAGTCCTCGACTTACGACCGCAAGGGACCCCCCCCTCCCCAAATTTGTGTTGCTACACAGGACATAGTCATCAGCCACATCCCCAGGGAAGCAGGATATGTAAAAAAGATGTAAAAAAGACATTGAGACACTCTAGAAAGAGTGCAGAGAAGAGCAACAAAGATGATTAGGGGACTGGAGGCCAAAGCATATAAGGACAGTTGCTGGAATTGGGAATGTCTAGTTTAATGAAGAGAAGGACGAGGGGGGACATGATAGCAGCCTTCCAATATTTGAGGGGCTGCCCCCCAAAAAAGGGGGTCAAGCTAGTCTCCAAAGCGCCTGAAGGCAGGACAAGAAGCAACGGGTGGAAACTAATCAAGGAGAGAAGCAACCTAGAACTAAGGAGAAACTTCCTGACAGTGAGAACAATTAACCAGCGGAACAACCTGCCTCCAGAAGCGGTGAATGCTCCAACACTGGAAGTTTTTAAGAAGAGACTGGACAGCCATTTGTCCGAAATGGTATAGGGTTTCCTGCCTGAGCAGGGGGTTGGACTAGATGACCTCCAAGGTCCCTTCCAACTTTACTACTACTACTACTACTACTACTATTATTATTATTATTATTATTATTATTATTATTACCACCTTTGGGACATAATAGGATTAACCCACCACCATCAGAATAACAGAAAGGCACACTCAGACTCAGGTCAAAGTTCATGCCACAGGAACAACTCCAAACAAAAGCCCAAGAAGGTATAAAAACCCACCACTCCCATCTCCACAGCCACCTTTCTGTCTGGCTCTGCTCTTCAATAAACTGCAACCTTCTTTCTAAAGCAGTCTCCATTTTGTTTATTCCCAGCATGGACTGGACCCCGATGAGGATTTTTCTTTCAACACGGCCAAAGACCTTTCTCTTTTGAATGCAGCCATAGAATTTTTTATAGTTTGACCCTGCCTTTCCTCCCCATGTTTGTTTACCAGCAAAGATTAGGGGAAAATAGGATGAGAAGGAGGATGAGAAGGAGCTTTAGGTGAGATCAAGTCCTTTGATCCTTCAGGCTTGTACTTCGCACCCATCGCGATCGTGTTTTCATTTTTCAACATGTTTTCTTTGTTGGATGTGAAAGCCAAACCAAATTTTGACAGGGCCTTTAATTACCATAGCAATAGTCATGGTGACAGACGTGTTTGTGCAAATAACCAGCATTTCTCACCATCCTTTATTGCAAAAACAATAAAAATAAAACCTGGATAGTTTTGTTTTGTGTGTGTGTCTATGTGTCAGCAACATTTAGTTATCTCTGCCTCATTCTGTCTGGGAGATGTTATATTATCTTGTAAGCCTCCCAGGCTCATAATAAAGTAGAATGGCAAAATTACATCAAAGCCGGAGAAAGGGAAAAAAGTCAATTCTATACTTAAGCCAGTATAATGATTTCTCAATGCAGGTAAAAGGGATGTGCAAACAGGTATTCTAAAACCTGGTGTCCACTCAGCAGCATGCTATGTCTGCACAAGACACAAATAAGATTTTAATAATGATGATGATGATGATGATGATAAAGTTGGAAGGGACCTTGGAGGTCATCTAGTCCAACCCCCTGCTCAGGCAGGAAACCCTATACCGTTTTGGTCAAATGGCTGTCCAGTTTCTTCTTAAAAACTTCCAGTGTTGGAGCATTCACCGCTTCTGGAGGCAGGTTGTTCCACTGGTTAATTGTTCTAACTGTCAGGAAGTTTCTCCTTAGTTCTAGGTTGCTTCTCTCTTTGGTTAGTTTCCATCCATTGCTTCTTGTCCTGCCTTCAGGCGCTTTGGAGAAGAGCTTGACTCCCTCTTCTTTGGGGCAGCCCCTGAGATATTGGAACACTGCTATCATGTCCCCCCTCGTCCTTCTCTTCATTAGACTAGACATACCCAATTCCAGCAGCCGTTCCTTATATGCTTTAGCCTCCAGTCCCCTAATCATTTTTGTTGCTCTTCTCTGTACTCTTTCTAGAGTCTCAATATCTTTTTTACATCGTGGTGACCAAAACTGGATGCCGTATTCCAAGTGTGGCCTTACCAAGGCCTTGTAAAGTGGTATTAACACCTCACGTGATCTTGATTCTATCCCTCTGTTAATGCAGCCTAGCACTGTGTTGGCTTTTTTGATGATTTTAGAAGGATCCCAGGAAGTAATTTCTTTATTTTATTCTCCTTGGGTCAAGTGCTACCTGGAATCCTGTATCCAGTTCTGAGCAACACATTGCCTACATGCCAGGGCAGTGTCAGCCTTGGCAACTTGTGTGGACTTCAACTCCCAGAATTCAATTCCCCAGCCAGCCAGCCAGAATTGAATTCTGGGAGTCGAAGTCCACCCATCTTCCTGTTGCCAAGGTTGAGAAACACGACAGGTAGTCCTCGACTTAACAATAATTCATTCAAATTCATTCAGTGAGCGTTCAAAGTGACAACGAAAAAAAATGATTTATGACAGTTTTTCACAGTTAGGGCCGTTGCAGCAGCCCCGTGATCACATGATCAAAATTCAGACGCTTAGCAACTGATTCATATTTAGGACGGTTGCAGTGTCCCGTGTGTGTATGTGTGTGTGTGTGTGATGTGATCACCATTTGCAAACTTCTGACAAGCAAAGTCAACGGGGAAGCCAAATTTGCTTAACAACCTCATTACTAACTTTTAACAATAATAATAATAGTAGTAGTAGTAGTAGTAATAATAATAATAATACAGTTGGAAGGGACCTTGGAGGTCATCTAGTTGAACCCCTTGCTCAGGCAGGAAACCCTATACCATTTCAGACAAATGGCTGTCCAGTGTCTTCTTAAAAACTTCCAGTGTTGGAGCATTCACCGCTTCTGGAGGCAGGTTGTTCCACTGGTTAATTGTTCTCACTGTCAGGAAGTTTCTCCTCAGTTCTACGTAGTGATTCACTGCAGTTGTTAAGTTACTAATAACGGTTGTAAAGCGTGTGTGCCAATAACGGTGGCAAGAAATGCTGCCAAATGGAGCGAAATTCACTTAATGACATAAACCTTGGGCTCAATTGTGGTGATAAGTCAAAGACTGCCGGTATTCTAGCCCCTTCATCTGTATGGAGCCAAACTGCCTAAAGCAGGGGTAGGCAACCTTGGCTCGTTTATGACTGGTGGACTTCAACTCCCAGAATTCCTGAGCCAGCATGGGGGAACTATGGCCCCCTCATGACTGGTGGACTTCAACTCCCAGAATTCCTGAGCCAGCATGGGGGAACTATGGTTCCCTTGATGACTCGTGGACTTTAACTCCCAGAATTCCTGAGCCAGCATGGCACAGCTTGGAAACCTCTTCCTTTCCCCTCAGCATAGCTGGCTGAGGAATTCTGGGAGTTGAAGTCCACCAGTCATGAGGGGGCCATAGTTCCCCCATGCTGGCTGAGGAATTCTGGGAGTTGAAGTCCACCAGTCACAAAAGAGCCCAGGTTGCCTACCCCTGGCCTAAACGAACGGCTTCCATCTGTCCTAACTGATTCCGAGTCGCTCCGTTTTGTCCAACCCGCTCATCCTTCCTCCCGCTCTTTTCTCCCTCCACCAGGTGAGAGGATTCTGGGCTACGCCGAGGAGCCTTGCTACTTGTGGTTCGTCATGGAGTACTGCGAAGGGGGAGACCTGAACCAGTACATCCTCTCGCGCCGGCCCGACCCGGCCACCAACAAGAGCTTCATGCTCCAGCTGACCAGCGCCATCGCTTTCCTGCACAAAAACCACATCGTGCACAGGGACCTGAAGCCGGACAACATCCTGATCACCGAGCAGTCGGGCGCGCCGGTGCTCAAAGTGGCCGATTTCGGGCTGAGCAAGGTGTGCGCCGGCTTGGCCGCCCGAGGCAAGGAGGGCGGGGACGACGAGCACCATGTGAATGTGAACAAGTACTGGCTGTCCTCGGCTTGCGGCTCGGACTTCTACATGGCTCCCGAAGTGTGGGAGGGACACTACACCGCCAAGGCGGACATCTTTGCGCTGGGCATCATCATCTGGGCCATGATCGAGCGGATCACCTTTATCGACGCCGAGACCAAGAAGGAGCTCTTGGGCACTTACATCAAGCAGGGGACGGAGATTGTACCTGTGGGGGAAGCGCTGCTGGAAAACCCCAGGATGGTGTTGCACATTCCTCAGAAACGCAGGACTTCCATGTCTGAAGGGATCAAGCAGCTCCTGAAGGACATGTTGGCTGCTAATCCCCAGGACCGGCCGGATGCCTTTGAGCTGGAATCCAGGATGGACCAGGTTACGTGTGCTGCTTAAACTCAGGTCAAGGCGTTGGCGGGCTCTGACAAACAGGGTAAGGGTGCTTCCGTTCCTCTATTCCTGGTCACCAGGCGTATGATGATGATGATGGTAATAGTAATAATAATAGCAATAATAATAATAGGATGCTGGTAGCAACCCGTGTCAACCATCAGCGCCAGCCAATTTGAATGTTCAGTTGACTGAGGTTCATGTCTAATGAATAAAAAATGATGACAATGATGATGTTGGAAGGGACCTTGGAGGTCATCTAGTCCAGGGCTTTTCAACCTTTTCACCCATTGTACCACTTTTAGGATGTGGCAACATCCGAGTTCCACCAGTCGCCTAGCAAGGTGTCAAAAACGTGATGACCCCAAAAAAAAAAAAAGGAAAAAAGCGATAAAGTTACAGGTAGTCCTCGACTTACAACAGTTCACTTAGTGACTGTTCAAAGTTACAATGGCACTGAAAAAAGTGCCCCCCAAGCCACAGCCGAGCAAGACACCTGCCTGCCCACCCGGCCGTGCTATTCCTCCTGTCCGAGGTTTTCATTGTTGTGAGCATTTCTGTTGAGGATTGGCAGCAGGGGTTGGGTGGGGGGTGTTTGGTTTTTATTGCCCCCGTCAGCAGGTTTTGGTCAGTTCACATGACCCTGGGACACTGGGAAAATTTTGAGGATTGGCTTACCTCCAATTTTTTTCATGGTTATTTTGGTGAAAAAAAATCGACGGTCGCTTACCTGGGATGTCCTTCCGTGTAAATATATACAGTACTTACTTTTTAAAAGCTTTTCCAGTTGCGATTTTGTGGGAACTGATGGGGGGAAATCAGTTTTTAAACTCTGCTCAGTGTGTTGGGATATCATCGTTGATCAAGAGGTTTTAAATTGTTTGATCCAGTGGCCCTAAAGCAGGGGTATCCAATCTGGGCAACTTTAAACCCTTGTGGGCTTCAGCTCCCAGAATTCCCTAGCCAGCCATGCTGGCTAGGGAATTCTGGGAGCTGAAGTCCACAAGTCTTAAAGTTGTGCCCACGGTTGGAGACCCCTGCTGTAAAAGAAGACTGACCTGTTGTTTGGAAGGCAAGTTAGGTCTTTACTACTACCACTATGAATTTAAGGTCTTGGTCCAGGTAAAGAACTTTCTGGAACTTTTCCTCTCTTTTCCAAGGCAGAGTGGTCTTGCTCTTAAGCTGCAGGTGGAAAGGAGACACTCCTCAATTTACGACCAGAACGTTTGCTGTTAAGCAAGGTGGCCGTTAACATGAACCAGGCGCACCTTTTACCCTTTTGACCACTGTTCTTAAGCAAGTGTCTCTTTTTGTAACCTCGGTCACTAAGTGAACGGTTGTAGAACGAGGACGGCCTGTAGCTTCTCCCGAGCGGTGTTGCGCAACCTGAGCAAATTTTAAGAGGCTGTCTGGGGAGCCTTCTGGGAGTTGTAGTCCACGCCTCGCTGAGGTTGAGAGAGCGTGGCTGGCCGGCAGAGCCTTGAGGCTGGCCGCGATTGACTTCACCCACTGCTCACACGTCAAGTTCAACCGGTGTGTGTGTGTGTGTGTGTGTGTGTCTGTTTTTCCTTTTGGCTTCAAGCAAAGCCAGCAAACAACAGACAGACACGCAAAGGCCGTCTCTCTAGAGACATTCCAGGCGTAGCAAGATGCTTTCCAAACATCGCCGTGTCACGAACAACCAACGGTTCCCGCGCGCTTTGGCAGGCTCGGAAGTAACACAACAGATATACTCCTTGGGGCTGCCTGCCCCACTCTCCTGTCAGCCCCCGCCGTCTTTGTTGTGTTTGTGGGTCACTGTAGAAGCCAGTGAGGAGGGGGAACCGCTAACCACGGTCTGCAATTTTAAATAATTGCCTGCTTGCTGTCAGGCAATCCCTTCCGTGTTGTGCTAACGGAATTTGACCCTGGGGTGGCTAAAGGGAATTCTTCTCTTTTTGAGAGGCCTGTGCGCTTGCAAATTGGCTGTCAGGAACAACAGTTTTGAGAGATCTTTTTGTTGTTGTTGTTGTTGTTGTTTGCTTTTCCCTGCACTGCTGCTTTGAGGGGAACAGCGGGTGCCCTTAAAAAGCGCATTTTGCATTTGGGCTCCAAAGAGGAAGAAAACAGCGTGAAAACGGATGCTTTTCTACAGAGCAGTTTGAAGGATTTTATTCACTAATAAGGGGGGGGTACTATATTCCCCACTAGGCCAGGGGTCTTCAAACTTGGCAACTTTAAGACTTGTGGACTTCAACTCCCAGAATTCCTCAGCCAGCCCAGTTGCCAAGTTTGAAGACCACTGGGAGTTGAAGTCCACAAGTCTTAAAGTTGCCAAGTTTGAAGACCACTGACCAAGTTTGAAGACCAAGTTTGAAGACCAATTCTGGGAGTTGAAGTCCACAAGTCTTAAAGTTGCCAAGTTTGAAGACCAGGACTGTCCACCCCTGTGTTAGAACGAAGAGGAATAATAATAATAATAATAATAATAGTAATAATAGTAATAATAATAATAATAATAATAATAGTAATAATAGTAATAGTAGTAATAGTAGTAAAGTTGGAAGGGACCTTGGAGGTCATCTAGTCCAACCCCCTGCTTAGCAGGAAACTCTATACCATTTCGGACAAATGGCTGTCCAGTCTCCTCTTAAAAACTTCCAGTGTTGGAGCATTCACCGCTTCTGGAGGCAGGTTGTTCCACTGGTTAATTGTTCTCACTGTCAGGAAGTTTCTCCTTAGTTCCAGGTTGCTTCTCTCCTTGATGAGTTTCCCTCCGTTGCTTCTTGTCCTGCCTTCAGGTGCTTTGGAGAATAGCTTGACTCCCTCTTCTTTGGGGCAGCCCCTGAGATACTGGAAGACTGCTATCATGTCCCCCCTCGTCCTTCTCTTCATTAAACTAGACATACCCAATTCCAGCAGCCGTTCCTTGTATTTTTTAGCCTCCAGTCTCCTGATCATCTTTGTTGCTCTTCTCTGCACTCTTTCTAGAGTCTCAACATCTTTTTTACATCGCGGTGACCAAATTGAGAAAAGATGTCGGATTGCTTGGCAGAAATTTGACAATAGAACCAGTTGGGTTGTAGTGGTGAAGGTGCCGGACTAGAAACCAGGAGACTGAATTCTAGTTTCACCTTAGGCACGATAGCAGCTTTAGGCCAATCACCAATAGACGATGAGTTTGAGTTGTGCCTTAGGAATGAAAGCGGCTGGGTGACTTTGCGCCAATCACCTGGAGACGGGGAGTTCTAGTCCCACCTTAGGCATGAAAGTCAGTTGGGTAACTGTGGGCCAGTCACCAGGAGACGGTGAGTTCCAGTCTTGCCTTAGGAATGAAAGCGACTGGGTGACTTTGCGCCAATCACGAGGAGATGGTGAGTTCTAGTTCCGCTTGGGCATGAAAGGCAGCTGGGTGATCACCTGGAGACGGTGAGTTCTAGTGTCACCTAGGCATGAAAGCCAATTGGGTGACTTTGAGCCAATCGCCAGGAGACGGGGAGTTCTAGTCCCGCCTTAGGCATGAAAGCCAGCTGGGTGACTTTGGACCAATCACCTGGAGACAGGGAGTTCCAGTCTCACCTTAGGCATGAAAGCGAGTGGGTGACTTTGTGCCAATCACCAGGAGATGGTGAGTTCTAGTCCCGCCTTAGGCATGAAAGCCAGAGGGGTAACTTTGGGCCAATCACCAGGAGATGGTGAGTTCTAGTCCTGCCTTAGACATGAAAGCCAGTTGGGTGACTTTGGGCCAATCACCAGGAGATGGTGAGTTCTAGTCCTGCCTTAGACATGAAAGCCAGTTGAGTGACTTTGGGCCAATCACCAGGAGACTGTGAGTTCTAGTCCTGCCTTAGGCATGAAAGTCAGAAGGATGACTTTGGGCCAGTCATTCTCTCAGCCCAACCCCTCCTCACAGAACGGTGGTTGCGAAGAAAATAGGAGAAAAAAGTCAGGATTAAAAATAAATTAATTAATTAACATTACGAAATGCAAATATGGGTATTTTAAGATGCAGAAGGTTAGGAACCGATGGTCATTGAGAAGACATCCTGGTCATTTCCTTGGAGTGAAAGCACGTGGGGTTGTCCCGCCACGGGCTCAACGAAACAGTTTCATCGCCCGATGGGTACCTGGTCGCCACACAAGGTGCCCGGGCAGCTTTTGTGCTGGTGGGTCACCCGTTACATTTGGCACTAGAAGGGATGTCCCATCCTGTCCTTCTTAGAAAGTCGTCGTGAAAGAAATGGTCTCGCTGTCCAGCAGAGGCTGTGTGAGCATCTCGCCCTCAAGACCCCATCCCAGAAAACCTGCTAGAAAGCGATGCATTGATTATACATCAGTTGAGAAAAGGCAGCGTGGATTAAAATGTTAGCAATGACACCGCTTCCGAAACGAAGCTTGGATGGAGCGTTTCGCCAGGAATGATTTTTTGCTGTTTTCAGTTGTTTGCAATTAATTGTAACACGGGTACCTGCTGTTGCGTCAGTCATTTCAAATAATAAATCATATGGACCAAATAATTCGGCATCCAACTAATGAGTATCCAAGGAGTACAAGCCAGGTGGTCCTTGACTTACCACTACAGCCGACCCCAAAATGTCCATTGCTCAGCAAAATAGTTAAGTGGGTTTAATAATAATAATAATAATAATAATAATAATAATGCGATCTTCTTGCAGCAGCTTACCAGGTGGTCCACTGTTTCTTCAGCGTCTTCGCATAGGCGGCACTTACTGTCTGTCGCTGTCTTCTCAATTTTGACTTTATATGCATTTGTCCTTAAGGCTTGGTCTTGTGCAGCCAGAATTAGTCCCTCGGTCTCTTTCTTCAATTTTCCTGCTCTTAGCCATTGCCAGGTCTTGTTATTATCTGCTTTCCCAGCTATTTTTTTTAATATACTGGCCATGTAGTGCTTTGTCTTCCCATGCCTCTATTCTGTTCTTCATTTGGTCTTTCTTGTAGGCCAGTTTGGTCTCTCCAGTAGTCAGTAAGCCTTCCTGATACACTAATTTCAGTGCATCTTCATCATT